AGTCTCGTGTGATCCATGTTGAAAATTTTAAATTCCTACAATATTTTTTCATTCTCCCACATATGCGTACACTCCGATCTTTCGGGATAGGAACATCGATGGAGAGAAAGGTGGTCGCGACGCGAACGTAGTGTGAAAAATAACGTAGGCGCGCCTACCTGCGACGGCTGTCAAGACGGCGCAGAGCAGCGCCGCTTCCTGGAGCCTCATCGTATACCGCGCGCGGCGTCTCGGTGTTCCCCAGCTGACGGTCGCGCGTTCCAATTCCTTCGCGTGTCTTTCCTCGTTCGATTCGTGCAATCCACCGCGACCACAGCGACGTATCATCAATCAACCGACTGACCGATCCACCAGGTTGATCGGTTACCGCGACACTGCGCGCCAGGAGTACACCACCATCGCCACCGCCGTCGCGACAGTTCTCGGGAACTGGCCGGCACAAGAATCAGTTCTCAGCTCATTGGCTGACCACTTTCTACCGAAGCGGCGTGACGGCTCACCGTTGCATCGGGACAAACCAAAGAGGAAAGCTGTCTTTCATATCAGACACGATACGCCGCAGATTCACAGTTTGCACCGTCTTTTCCGCTCATTTCGCTTTCAAACGGGCACGGATCAGCGCAGCTCCGTGACGATTTTTCATCGCTGGAAGTCAAACAAATTGTGCTAACAATTCGATAATATTGAAACAGTCAAATATCAGGAACGTTAGAATTTTATGTACAACTGTTTTTATGCAAGTTAGAAATACAGTTATTGATAGCAACAATTTTATTTAATATTGAAAGGATACTTCTCTTACAGAAATCTAATTTAATAGTACTCAATTTAATACTGTGAAAGATTAATTATATATTTTGAGTTTAATTATATATTAAAAGCACTGTTGTGCTTATTAAGCACTGTCAGTGTGTGTGCTTAATAAATAATTGATCACTTTCTTCCAGTATTAAATGTTTGTAAGGATTAATGTTAGAATTCGATGTATATATAGCAACATCTACATAACAAGGTAATATTATTAAATATGAAGTATTATTAAATATAAATGTTTACACTTATACTAAGTTTACACATTTTTAAGGATGTACTGGCGCTAATGTTGCGTCTAACATTAACAATAACTCGAAAATTTAATAAATTGGTTCTATTTATTATCTGAAAACATATGTAAAACCTGAAGTCGATTCTCTATCTAGTTCATGAGTTATCTAATTTAATTTTGAGTTCTTATGGAGTATTCTTGGTGGAAATAAATATCGTTGAAATCGCTGGAAATCGCTAAAATTTATATTAATTAACCTATTTCAGTATGAATTATGCTAAAATGGGTCAATTGATTTCAGCGCTTTTCAGCGATTTCAGGGGTTTATTTCCACCGAGTAGCAGCATATTCCCACTTATATCAACAAAATTATATAGAAGCAGCATTGCCAATATTCTGAAATTTTGTTTGTGAGTAAATAAAATACTGAGCAACGTTTCTAAAAAAAAATTTATATCGGTTTACTAACCCGTTATCAAGATGTTAACGATAAAGCAAAATTCCGAATGGGTTACACAATCTCATTTCGACTGCTCAAAACGTGGCAACTCAAAAGTGTCAATAGTACGAAGGTTAGTTTACATATCTTTTTGATTTTTAAGTGATGTCTGATATACATTAAATGTTATTAATATGCGGCACGTCTTTCGTTTCTTACAGTTGATTTCAAGGAAAATTCACGTCCAAAAGTTTTTATCGACGATTACAAAAATACAAATATATTCATTTATAATGCCAAATATCACATTAACTGACATTATTCTATACACGATATGTACGGCGCATATTTTAACTTATACAAGTATAGAATTTCATCAATTTCAAATTCGAGTAACTTTTATCTGGGACTGTATAGCTAGAACATCCTTAATAGCTTCTAGTAATTAATTATATATAGACATTGTATATGAAATATATAAGTTAATCCTCGTTGAATTAATCCATTCGGAAGCTCGTTGTTATCAATCCTGCAGGATTTAGAATCAGATATGGTATTGATATTCTCTAGGATTTTAACGGCGCGGCGCGGCGACGCCGCAGAGAGCCCGCTTCTTAACGAGGCGATTTAGAAACCGGTCGGAGGAATCTTGCGAGCGCCGGAGGTGATGGCTCACAGTTCGATTTTAGCAATCTGTGGTCCCTTTTTGCGTTTTTCTTTCTTCACAGACTTCTTCTTTATGGAATCCTCGCGCTGACCGGCGTGCACAGCACTCCTATACGGATTCAAGTAGGCCGGATCGCGTTCCGTAATATTCAGCTCTTGTTCGACCAAACGAAACATCGTGATGGTCGATTTATTCAGTAAATACCGCGTTTGATTGGCGAAATTTAGGGACCAGTGTATTGTGGAGTTCCATCCCGGCTGTGTTTTCAGTATCCTGTGAGTGATGTCCGGCAAATGCAGGATGATGTCTCCGAAGAGCGCGATGTTCTCCAGGATGCTAGACAATGCTACGATAAATACAATAAGTAAAAAAGACAAATAAGAATGGCATTTCGATTTATTATTTCTTATGAAATCACTATTATATCTTATCTAATTAATTTTAAATACTAATTTAATATTTTCAGATATATTCACCGTATTCAAACAATTAGCTCAATAAGTAAAGTGTTAGCGACGAGGGATAAACCGCTGAGGCAATTACGGAGCATTACTGTTGAATTTTTATATAATTTCCACTAATGCTCTAGTAATGCCCATTAATGCTCTAGTAATGTCCAGTAATGTCTTAGTAATGCCCAGTAATGTCCTAATAATACCTAGTAATACTCTAATAATAATGCCCACCAAAAGTGCCCAGTATAATACATAATCTCATACCATTTACTTATAGTATACAATTTTTTGCTATGCTTATTAGCAAAAATTATTAAATTTCTTGTACAATTGAATAAATAATATTACTGTTCTAGTTCTGCTCACGTGTTTCAAAACTGAAAAAGATTTCGGCGCGCGGTATGCAGAATGTATATAAATTCACATGAAAATATATATTTAAGTGCTAAGATCTGCTTCGACCGAATATAGGAATTTCTCTTATTTAATTAGATTTATAATACACAATATTACTACACTAATAGAATTATACAGTATAAGTATATATACTATTGTATTATATATTTATACTTATGTGAGAAAGTATACGTGTGCGCGTTTGTATGATTATATGCATAATAAAAAAAAGCTATTAAAAATTAAAAGATATTAAAGAAAACAGAATTTTATTAGATCATAAAAAATGTAACACATTTCTTTATTATAATTTTTTAAATAAACAATAATGTAAAAGATGTATCACAAATTATGACAAACTTTATAATAATAGCATTATTACAAATTATAATAAACCTTATAATAAATTTCATAAATATATTTTATAAAAATTTTTTTTCTCTTGTTTATTTTTATGTATTCTTTATGATATAAAGAATATAAAAACTTTCTTTTATATAACAATGAAATATATTTTTTCTTGACATATATATATGTTATATCAAACAAAAATATATCTTTAGTTATACACTTAAACATGAGCATTTTAACGTTACATTCGCTTATAAATATCACTTTATGTTTGCGGGTACTGAAAGTATATTATAAAATAATATTTATTCCTATACATATCTAGTACATACAAAAGTTAAGAATTTTGTAATTTACTTTTCATTGACTTATATTTTTTATTTATAGTTAATAAATTTGACTGTTTTAATATAAAAGGTCCATTACCCATTAATTCTATTGGACCATAAAAAATAAATTTCGTTTCAACAACTGCTATATCATCATCACGTAGTCAAACAAAAAAATTAAGTTCTGATTTTACGAATTTTAATTTTACAAAATAGTGTCATCAATATTTTCAACATGTGTAGTATTACTGTTAATACTGTTTATGATATAATTATTGTCAATTTCATATTCCATGTCATCATGGCATTTTGACTCCCTTTCTAGTTTTAGGGAAGGAATATCTATAACTTTCTAATTGTCATCATTTTCGATTTCTATACTTAATTTTTAGTTTCTTCAATGACATCTTTTAATGCATTTTCGATTTATACTTCTTTAATATTCAAATTCTGTAGATCTTTATATGTAGGAACATTTTGAGTTTTACATTTCTTCTTGTCTTCTCTAGGAAAGAGATATGTTCCTGAAAAATCATTTGTTATAAAATTTATTTGTTTAATTCTATCAATACGCTGTATTAAATCTTAATGCTAAAATTAACGATAGTTGAATACATAGAAGTCATGGATCGAGTTGTCCGAAAAAGCTTTTCATACATTTGACTACTAAAATTTATAGGATGAAACGAAAATTTCGAATTTAAAAATTTGGCTATTATTTTTAAATAAAGTAATTAGTTTTATCAAATTGTGTGCATTTAATTCTACCTTACAAAAAATTATTTTATAAATATATTTAAAAACATAATGGAAAACATAATGAACAAAACCCAAATTTTCGCAAGACCATTTTATAAATTCTTTCAAGAACATAATAAAAAATATCAAATATAATATTATAACATAAAAAAGAAATGAAATCAAAATATTATTTCAAGTATATTTATTAAAATAAGTCCCA